TTGAATTATTCCCAATAATTTGTAATATAAATATCGACTTTCATTCTCGCTTTTTTTCGAAAGCGGTATTTGCTCTTATCACTAATTTTTTCATGTCTATCTTATTTAACTTTATTTAGCTCTCCTTCAAATTGATTGAATATTAATAATCTTCCTTGTCGCTCTTCTCTTTTCTTTCTCAAGAACACAGTATGTTCGTCTATCCTTACTATTGCATGCGCGTTGCATACGTATAGCGATATTACCTACGAAGGGGACGGAGAAAACCCGCTGGGGGTGTTCTCCGCCCCTGCGAGATGGGGTGGCACCCCATAGTTTATACTTTACTCTCAACTCCCGCGTTTCCACGAGCCAGATGTGCTCGGGCACCCGATTTACAGGGGTGCTCAACCTGCTTTGAACCTTTCCACGGGACAATGGAAGCGAAGGAAAGGAAAGTGAAGGAGAGGAGGACCGGTCTCTTCGAGAGAGGGCAATAAAATGCACACACGAGTCTTTGCGCTCTCGACAGTCGTCTGGTCGGCTCTCTCGTTCAATTGCTTAGCGAGTCGTTGCGAAAAATGCGAATGCTAACCGGTCCTCGTCGTCGTATGATTTCCCTTTTTCTGCTTCGGGAAACCTCATTCTCACTATCGCAATATCAACGAGATTATCATTTATTCCGTGTCGTTTCATTCATATATAGCATACATTCCACCATATCACCATAACGCAATTTATTTGAAAATTCGAAGACAAAACAATGTTTTTATTTTATTTATAATCTATACATATTAAATAAAATATATAAATTAATTTATACATTAAACTTGCAAAAATATTTTTAATCTAACGAAGTATGCAAACACATATTGAGTTCAAAAATAATTTTTTAAATAAAAAAAAAATATCTTTTTTCTAAACTCATGATAATGATAACGATAATAATTGATTACCTTTTAAGAATTTATTGTACTTATATACAGATATTAATGTTATTTTTTTCGATTTTCTAAATTGTACTCTTTTTAGCTAAGTGAAAAGAGAAATTTGTATCCTTATCGCTCACTTATACGGTTGGGCACCTCTGGTAGCTTTACGAGGGGATGCTGTACTCTCTCTTTCTCTCGCTTCTCTCCATATATCGTGACGATATCAAAGCCCGTGTGTCCGCGTGTCTGGATACAGAATGCTTTTTCCTCTTCGTTCGAAATAGACTTCCACGTCGTACACAAACTAGCCGACTGGTCATAATACACGTGCGCACACGCATAAGCGGAACTGAGCGCTCCTTTTCTCGTCATGGTTTATGAGTTATTATTTTAGGCTCTTTTTTCCTTAACTATCTGCCGCTCATCACGTTGCGTCAGCTGATAGCCGAGACGACAACCTCGTCTAGGCGTCTAGGTCAGGGTCTTGATTTACATCGTTATTTCACTTTCGATAAGGTGTGCTCATAAAAAACATTTTAAAATTTTCTTGGAAATCTTTAAATTTTCTTCCTGTAAAAGAAAATATCAGTTGTACGAAATATTAATTTAATTTCTAATATATAAACTGTATTGCTACAATATTTTATAGCAATGCATCCAAACACTTGTCTTATATTTCTTACCTTGCAAATAGTCTCTTAATTTATATATATATGCCATTTTTTTTTAATAAGAATATATAATATTATTTTTTAGAGAGAAGAATTAGACGTATTTACATATTTTCATTTAGTTAGGTGTTATGTGTGAAAGTGGAAGTTGGAAATTTCCAAAACATTATATATGTATTGTGCGACATTGAATTAATGCTAATAATTATAATTATTTGGTAGAGCAGCATTTGTTTCAATTAGATAGCATTACGCGTCATTCGCCTACACGTATCGATTTCTCAGCCTCTCTTTCTTCCTCTCTGCTTCTCTCTACTCCGAGCTTAACTCAATCCCCCATAATCCGTCGTGGAACTTCCCGAAGAGATTTCCGGAACGGTGAAAAGAGTCCCAAGCGCTGTATTAAAAGCTGCGTTTAAAGGATACCAACTGCCGGATGCACTAATCGGAAGTGATTAAAATTTCGTGCGTTAATTTTTATATTAAAAAATTACTTTAAGTATATAAGTTTAATTGTTATTTTATATATCAAAGTAAAAACTTTATAGATAATATTTCTAATAAAGAGAAATATTCTTATAATTAAACACTTATTATCTATTTTATACATAAATTTACAAATTTTTGCAATTCGATTGGTTTGTTGAACTTTGCTCGTTAACGAAGCATTTAACGAGCATTTTAATTCTAGATATAACGTGCCCGTTGTGAGATCACCTTAAGCTCCGTAATCCCGCGGGAATCTCCCAAAGAGACAAGCGGAGTTAAAAAAAAAAAATAAATAAAAAAAAGAGGGAAAAGAGAGAAAGAAAAAAAGAACTAAAGGACCGTTTCGACCATTCGTCAGCTCCGTTATAAACCGTCGTTCCACGAGTACGCGCGTGTATAAGAAAAAGAAGGACATGCTTTCAAGAGGAAGAGAAAGCACGGAAAGATCTGTACTGAAGAGAAGAGGTTGAAAGAGGGTAGCCAAAGGGGAGAACAACGAAAGAAAATTGAAGTCCCGGAGCACACGTAAGATCTGCTGCACCCGGTCTTTAACCCCGAAACATCACGTTAACGTTACAGAGATTCTCAACTTTAGAAAAAAATCTTTGCTCTTGTTTGGAATACAGACCATTTCAAATTAGTACAATTTACACAAAAATTTTTGTATGCGCAATAATTTACGTATACATTTATTTATATATATATATATATATATATATATTTATTATTAATAGCACTTTAAACATTAAAAACAGTGTTTGTCTAACAGTGACGACATGAACTGATTTCGTTCATCCACATGCACAGGACCATCATTTTCTGTTCATTTATTTTTACGTTTCATATCTTTTCAATAAAAATCGATTACTTAACTCTTAAAATTTGAGACTCGAGAATCGAAATACGCATCATTTGAGCACCCACGCTAAACGTGCATCCACGGGCCCTTAAATCTTTCTCTTCCTCTCGTCTTCGGAGTCTCGTGCGAGTTAAAAATACTATCTTATACTTTCGGATACCGGTTCGGCACAGGTTTCGAGAATCGGCCTCCCTCGATGAATCCGCTACATGCATCTGAAACAAGAATTTGCGTACGAGATGACAGGGGAAGATGGTGACAAAGCGGAAGAAAAGAAAAAGTAACATGGCAAAAATGCAACATGATTGGCAGCATTTTACCAGGAATTATGTGCATCATTGGCGCGGCGGGGTGATCCGAAATTATAAATAAATCTGGACTATTATTAGCAGAAGCGGACTTCTTCTTTGCAAGGTCTTCGATCTCTCACTCCCTTTCCTTCTTCTTCTTTTCTTCCTTTGTTCAACCTTCTCAACTTGGAGTTTCTTTTTCTCTGAACCTTAGCCTTACTAAAATATAAATTCAATACAGTTTATATAGTTGTCGTTAAGTGAAATAATTTTATTTTGATTACTTCAATAAGATTAGAAAAGTAGCATTGGTAAATAAATAGTATTAATAAAACTTGTACTATGTTACAATAATGTTAATTACCTGTTATTTTACATTATTAACATTTGATAATTTTCCTTATAGTCCTATTCCCAATAATTCTCTTAAATGTAATAATAGTTGTATAAATGTAATAAGGAATATATGGAAATCGTGGGATAGGATATACATATAACCACGTCCAATGCTAAATTGGCAATATCGAGATTATATACACATATACAATACAAGGTGCTGCAAAGCATAATACATCATATCGGGGAAATCATCGATATGCGAGATATGCAGAGGTATAATGAAGTGATATCACGTTGTACGTTATTGCATTAATTTGTATGCAGACTAGTAAACATGTAAATGTTATTTCACTATACTTTTCAGAATAGGAAATATCATCTCTCTAATATCTCTCTCTCTTTCTCTCTTATTTACATAAAATTATTATTTGTCTTTTAATTTTTAACCATCTGCTAAATAAAAGCACTAATTCGCAAATCTCTGTATTAGATAGATATCGGCGCGTTTATACATGTGGAATACTTCCTTCGTGAAATTCTTATTTCACGTTGCTAGGACAAGGGTGGAATCTGCTTTATTCAGAGACCAAAAAACTCGCTCTTTGTATGCCAGCTATGCAATATTTTTTACCCTTCTGGCGATTTTGAATCATCATCGTCAGCTTTCTCTCGGTCTTTTGCAACATCATATTTGCAATCCTCTCAAATTCCTGTATTCTCCAGACCTGCATCTCTTCACTACACTTAAGCTTATCTCTTACAAGCCCAAATTCTTCCTCATATAGCTTAATTATTCTCTTTTTTATGTAATTTTTGAATAATCTTTTGATTTATAATTTTCTAATTTTCTAAATTTTCTTAATTTTTCAACTTTCTGATCTGTTACCATATAGCATATTCATCAATTTTATACAAAAAAACATCTTGTAAAGTTTATTTTCAATGTACCTAACTTTTTATTTAAAAATATATATGATATTTATAATATATATGAAATCATTATAATGTAACTATAATTAACCTGATCTATGCCAGATCATATAACAATTCCATTTTATGATATAAAATGAAATCAATTCCCAATATTGCG